GTGTTGCCGTCTGGCTTTTATGATATGCTCGCTCGTCTTGCTCGCATGGTCTCTTAACGCTACTCTCTCTACTCATCTCTACTCACAGTGCCTGCTACTGTCTCTTACTCCTCTATCGGAAGGAAATGAATTCCTCATTTTCGGTGCTGCCCCCATTTTTTTTTTTTCTCTGTTTTCATTCCATTTTTCATTTTTCCTATCTGCCTTCATTTGTGAACTTGAACAGCTCCAATTTGATTGCGGAAGACGCCTTCCAACGATTTTACTTACAATTACACTGCAATCGTAACTATAAATCTGGAACGAAATCGAGGTGCACTTGAGCCGAATGCTCTTGGAAAAACTCATTTTATTCACTCGTTAGATGAAAATCGGTTGATCGACCCACTCTCTTTCGGACCGAAGTGCACGTCAGGCGAATATTGCGCTTCCAGCCGATCCTTCCCTATCGCAAGAACTTCCCCATTACGACCCATGATTGCATTCATTGCAAACACATGTTGCGATATCGTAGGAACTCGTAAAGAACGGCCAAACAGCGAACGCCGTCGATTTTAAACCCAATAATTTGAATTCATGTGGCTTTAATTCAAATTTGTAGGGCTTTGTCGAAAACAACCGCTGGTCGTAATTGAATGCGCCATGTTTTTCAATTGGCTTACCCATTCCGCTTATGTCGCCTTCTACACTCGAGATGCTCCTGATGTCCATGTTCAAAGGATCAGAAGCAAATAGTGCTCCACGGGTCCCACCCACCTACTCGGGTCGCGCCTCTGGGAACGGTAGACGACAGCATATTCCTCCATCGTGTAATTTGGCGTGCCACCTGAATAGATCACAATTTGACTGTAATGATCCAGTTGTTGTTGTCCAGCAAGAACTCAATTAAGAGGAGCGCCGGGAGGAAATCATTCATTCCGATCCATTCATTCATTCATTCGTTCGACTCCGACTCCTATTTGGTCTATTTTCTCCGTTTTCAAGCTTCGTTCAGCGAAGAGAGGAAACTTCAGGGGTGCGTGCAATTTCCGTCTCCACCAGAACTGCTACCTCTAGGGTCAGCCCTGAGCGATGCTCCTACTCCATTTTGCGATGATGCCGCTAATATTCTCACTGTGAGAGTCATCTGTTGCTGTAATCCTACCACTACTATCAGCTGCTGGCAGTCGTTGTCAACAGGCATGGTCATGTGGTTTAGCGTTGACTTAAGGGCTCAGGCCGCGATTATCAACGTGTGGTTGTGGGGCTTGAAATTGACACTGGGAGTTGAATGAAGAAGAACTGTTGAAAATATTGAAAAATAAGAGCGTCTTCTTTCAAAACGTAGACGATGCCTCCGAGAAAGACGGAGACAGGCAGTCCAAGACACAAAGAATGGCGAGGTGCGAGAGAAGACGTGGCAGATGCGAGAAAGCGAGGAATGGGGGCGAAATACAGACCTTAATGCCTTCGCAACAACGGGTACCCAACCGACGTGCATTATTTGTGGAGTGCAGAATGTGCAGGTCACAAGCCCTTGCCATGCGATTCGAACCACGGAAGCGTCATTCTCTCTTTGGTTGCGGGCCCAACAACTCATCCACGGAAGGGGCCTTCAGTGAACGACGGTGCGGATGTGCTTAAAGGCAGTGAGTTATAAGAACTGATGCCATCCCGTAGGAGTATAAGTGCGCCAGGGTTTAAAACGATAGCCAGGCGGAAAAAGCGGGGGTGAGTATTTCGCGAAGTTATTACGAGTAGAGGCTAAACCCTGTCCGCCTCCTCTGAAACCGCTCTGCTCACAAGCGTGGTCATTGCATTCTGCAATATCGCGATTATTACCGCTTGATTTTCATTTTGAAGGTGAAAAAAAAAACTTGAATGTAGCCATATTTTACCTGTTAACTCAGCAAAGTGAGGTTCCTTCCAGGTCTAGCTCGGAGCGGTTCAGGCCTCGTATTGCCCACCTTTTAGCCCACTGCTTTCATATGATCGCTCAAACTTTCGGGACTGGCCTTTAAACAAGCTCATTAGGAATCACGTAATAAATCGTTAGGCAAAAAGGCGGGGGGGGTGGGTGGGGCAAGTGGCGCTGGTGATACCCGCGGCGAGCGGTCGGATCAATCCTGGGTCGTGAGTCGCCCGGGCCAACCAAGCCTTCCATCCCTCCGGGGTCGGTTAATTGGTACCAGACTTGTCTGGGAGGATAAAAAAACACTGACTTGTACATCGGCTGGCCCCGCAAGTCATTGTATAGGCCACGTCGCATTCGAAACCCCCTTCGAATGATAAATTGAAGAAGAATTGGTGTCGCGCCCTAAAAAGGATTGAATCAACGGCAAATGCTTTATCTTTTTTGCTCTTATGGATCGAGGCCGGCAAGATCTCCTGTATTATAGAAGTCAACCAATGTAAGCGACCAGAAATCTGAAATCTAGGCTAGAGGTCGAGCCTAGCGACTACAGGTTCCAAACCTCTAGTCGCAAGGCCTTTTCTGGGTTAAAGCCTAGGTTTGCAGGTTTGAGAATGCAGGAACCGAACCTACTGCTTCTTATTCTACTGTTACTCTTACCGAGTTATCCTAGTGGAATTCTTTTTTCATCTAATCCAGCACTGAAAAGTTGTTGATAGAGCAAGTGTTTTTAGAATATAAATAGGAAATTATCAAATTTCTGAATATTTAAGACCATTGTTTCTTCCTCATTGTGGTTCCTTTTCTCCTTTCTTAGTCACGTTTGTCAGTGTTCAGTGTTGTAAGGGCGCGGCGTATTAACCGTATATCCCGTTGAATCGCCAGTGATTGAAATCACCTTTCGTTACGCCGCCGGCTTCAGATGGCGACCGAAAAGCCGGCGACACCGCTCAAGTGAAGTTGTAGAGGTTCATGGTCAACTGTTTGAAGTGGGACCTCGATATGTTAACCTCGCCTTTATTGGTGAAGGCGCTTATGGAGTGGTAGTGTGAGTTCACTGAACTTTGCCTTTTCTTCCCGTCCGCTGTTTAGAAACAAAATGACTGATGAAGTTTTCTGGCAAGCTTTTTTTCTTGGAGAGAATAGAATCAAGATATTATTTCAAATTCTGATATCAATTTAAATTTCAATTTGAATATAATTTTTTCGGAATAACTCATGCAATGCAATAGTTGTTGAATTCCGATGCTCATTTGGACCGTTTCAAATTTGATGCTAATTTTTCCTTGAAATGGCTCATGCAATAGTTTCGCAGAATTTCGATGTTTGTTTGGACCGTTTGATGCTTTTGGTGCTTAAAGGCACGGGTTGCGATGAAATCTGAAAAGCAATTCTCTCCTTGAGTGAGGGGCAGGACCCCTGGGCAGTTGAGTCGTAGCGCTGTCGTTGCTGAAAATTGCGCCACAAGAGCGCTGAAGGTTCTTCCTTGACTGCTGCACCTTTTTGCTCATTCCTCTGTGCCTGTCGCAGAACATGCTTCTAGCCCCTCCTCCCGCTGTATAACGGTTCTTCCAATATCTTTTCTTATTTCGAGCAGAATAGCACACGATTGGTCGGCGACCTGTGCCTTTTAGCGCGTTAATTTTTTCCTTGATTAAATTTAGGAAAGTTTGCAAGTGTTGCACGAGCAGTTCCTGCTTACCAGCTGCATATAATCTGGCACCGGTGGCGCTTCGAGATTGAAAATGAACCTGTGAGAGCAGAAATGATGTGTGGGAAGAGGAGCCTGCATCAGGGTGGGAAGCTGCGGTGCGACCGCACGCGGATTAGTTGTTTGGCTTGCTTACGGAAATAATTTAGTAGATGTTTCACTCATTAGACTTAAAGAAAAGACGGTTTTTTTTTCACTGTGGGAGGGATCGTACATACCAGTATGCAAACCATGACATCTTTTTGTTGAGCGGCGCATGGACCATTCCCAAGAGCTCGCCAGCCTCAAATACAAAGAGCGATCAATATGCCTTTCGTACATGAGCGTTCATAAATAAGCCAGGTACCCCTCGCTTTCAGTTCCGCTTTGGACACAATCACCGGTGAACATGTCGCCATCAAGAAGATCTCTCCATTTGAACATCAGACGTTCTGTCAGCGGACATTGCGAGAGATCAGAATATTAACGAAATTCAATCACGAAAACGTATGTTCACTATTTTCCTTCTCCTCGGGCGTTACTTTCTAACAATAAACACGAGGCCAATGAGCCCTTCTTGGATTTTGCCTTGGAGAGAGAGCGGTTGCAACACGCGGAAATCGCGTTTGTCGCGCGCGTGGTGCCACATGCGCTACTCTAGGAAGTAACGCCCCTTTCCCGGTTCTCCTTTCAACTGTTATTTCGTGTTCGAGTGTTATTCAAGTTATCCGCATTTAGATTATAGACATACAAGAAATCATCCGATCAGCTTCAGTGGACGAACAGAAAGACATGTGAGTGTCTAGAAACATGCCTTTAATTCTGCAATGATAAATAGATGCTATTTACTTTTTATGGTATACGTAGTTGGAAACAGCTCTCAAGATTATTTTAGCTTTTTTCAATCTTCATAGCGTTCCTGAATATTTAGATGTGGATTTTATTGTGCCTTTGAAGAACCATTCAGCACATCCAAGAAAGCAGTCTTATGTCTTTCTATTGAATTCCCTCAGGACCAAATTAGCGTGGTCCTCACACACGAAAAGAAAACATTAGTGCGAAGAGGGTCGGCAACAAAGAAAAAAGAGAAGAATCCGTCAAAATCGCTAAAGGGCTTGCTCACATTGGTGCTAAGGCAGTGAGGGACTGAACACGTAGGAAAAGGTAGGCAAGGAGCACAACGAATGAGAAAGCGAAGACATATGCATACTGCGGAAGAGGAAAAAGGGTGAAGCGGTCGAAGCGGTTTTTGCAAGCCCCTAGTGCCCTTGTTGCGCATTTTGGAGCCAGCAGTACGGGACAATTGTGACCTTAGAGGACAGTTCTATCCTACCCACCAAAAGGGTTCTTTTAAGTAAGCTCATGCTCGGCTGTACCTCTAAGTAGACCACTAACTCAATGTGTTAGTTTGTTGGTCTGTCGATGTTCATGTCGAGGTGTATGCTCGTCTGCAAAATAACCCTGGAATAAGAATAAAAATAGAATAAAATCCACCGCTGACAAGGGACCGCAGACCTTACAGTATCATTGTTCTTTAGCGGAGTGATAGTGATAATACTCCCAACTAGAAACACCAACTGAGCACTCGAGGGCAGTGGAAGGAGATGAGGGATGG